AATACTGTTATCCGGCCAACCCTAGAATATGCTTCTGTAGTATGGCACCCCCACACAGCAACCCTTACCGATATGCTCGAAATTGTCCAAAACAAAGCCGCGCAATTTATTTTGTCATGTTATTCCCGCTATGAAAGTGTGTCATTCATTAAGAAAAAATTAAATCTCCCCCCTCTTGCCATGTGCAGGAAATATTTCCGCCTATCTTTCTTCCACAAATTATACCACAGTGATTCGCCGTTCCGCCATACGTTCATTCACCCTGCTTTGTTCATTTCCGCACGCGTTGACCATGATCATAAAATTGAACCTATATTTTCTCGCACAAAAAAACACCAATACTCGCCCCTTGTTTTAGCGATAACCGAGTGGAACGCTCTGCCTGCCAGCATTGTAACGCATACACAGCAAACATCTTTGCAGTCTGCATTATTTGCGTTCCTTGAATGTGTTGGGCAATCTTAGGCATTGCTGTATAACGTCTCGTGCAGCTTTTTCAATGTGCTCGCTTGTGAAAACCTTGCTGTGCTATTTCTTGCTTATCTTGCTTGATGGACTGTGTAGTTTGCGCATGTTTTCTTGTTAAAAAAATTGCTGTTTTCACTGATTACTGTATGAAACCCCCCTTATGTAATGCCCTAGAGGCCCTTAAGGTATATAAATAAATAAATAAATTCAAGTTGCGTCATCTTGGCCACGGCCCGGCGATAAACATCCGGCACCGTTGCCGGGCCAGCGGGTGCTTGCCGTTGGTACTTTACCTGGCGGAACATGCCTTGCAAAAGAGCCGAAGCAGTACCTAACTCCACGATGAAAAAAAAAAAAAGTGGAAAGTTTGGGGGGAGGGAGGTGGAGGTGTAGTCGAAAATATTTTTGGCTTGGGATTCTGGTTCGTGCAGAGAATGTTGTTTAAGCCACCTTCGCCGTAGTACACCAGTGGCCTACGAAAAAGACTATTGAGATTTTGAAGGGGGTGGTAGCGCTAGTCACGGGACACTGCACATTTTGCTCAGTTACTCATGTGTTTGAATGCCGCATAATTATGGGTACCAGTATAATAACTGATGTCTAAGTAAGCTAATTGCAATCATTTGGAGCAATGTACGGCATTTCTGCTTCACTAACAAAAATTCTAGGCCAGTTTTTTTTTTTTTTTCACAACCCTTACCCCTCGGTTTCGATTCTCGCAAATTTCAAGGTCGTGAGCTTGACAGATTCATATTTAAATTTGTAGAGTCTGTCAAATGGTTTGACAGGTGCAGCAAATGTTAATATAAACTTTATCATTGTTTGCTCAGTAGGGTGGTTCAAAATACCACTTTCATTGAAATAGCAGTGCTCTTACTCTTACTGCACGATTTAGGGAATGTCAAATGCTTTATATATGTTTTTTTCTAAATGGAAGCTTTCTTTTTTTTTTACTGCTCCAACTTTAGTATTTCATGATAAAAAATGCATGTTTTTTCCCTGTAACTTGCTTCAACTTCAGATTTCAGTGCACCAAAAGTAAGATTTCGCTGCTCCGAAAATTGCGCCAAATTGTATTTTGGCTGTTGCACCCCTAGGCAGGCAACTGCTAGAAAAGGCTGAATTGGTGCTCCAATTTCGTTATGTATGTGAAGATTTTAGATAAGCTTCAGTGCAATTTAGACATAGACCAAGGAGACACAGAACAGATTACCTTTTCAAATGCCTCTTGCGGCTGCGTTGTCTCGCAGCTGCGGCTCAGTAAAGCCGTCTGCGACAGCTTTTCTGGTAGCTATCCTGTCACCACAGTTGCCAGATGTTACTGAACTAACAAGCAAACAGTCATCACAAAAGAAGCCCAAAAATGGTGGCGAGACTTTGTGGAGTAGTCCGAAAGAAAGATGGGAGACAAGCTTCAAAGCACTTTGATTTCTAATAAAAAAATTCACTAGGATACGAAGGGCAGTTGTAAAAATCTTTTTAATTTGGGTGCTTCAATAATATGTGCAACTGTGAGCAAACCACATTACTTTTTGGCATTGACTGTAGAGTAGTCTCCATTCGGTTGAATGCATCTTTGCCAGTGCATGATTAACGTTACTTGTTCATTGCCCCAACGTATGTGTGACTTGAACACTCATGTACTCAGTCATCAACAAGTGTGCCATTGGTGATCGGGATAATCACGAAAATAACTATATTTGCTGGGAGAATGCAAACTGGCTGCCCCTCAAAAAACTTCATAAGTGACTAGAAAATTCAGGAGCAACTTGGTGAGAAAAGAAGCCCAAATCTGCCTATTATAAAGAGAACTGGCAACTCACTGTATTTTTTAGGGCAGAAGTAAGTTGTTACTATTTTAGCTGCTCCACTGGCATTCACTGCCATTGCATTCACTGGCATAAGCAGGTCTTTGGCCAGGCGCTATGTTCTTTCATGCTCTTGCTTCCGTGAACATCTCATAAAAAGATCTCCCCTATGTGTGATGCATCACAGTGTGGCAAAAGTGGCAGGGATCAGGAGTGTAGTGCTCATATGTATCTACTGTGTGCCTGCTTTCCTTTTCTGACGCAGCCCACTATGTCCTGTCACACAACAGTCATCTGCTCTCCATGTATCTAAACAGCATGTACTTGTATGTTGTCCTTGTTGATGCTGCTGATATCTTAGACCATAAAGTTTCATACAATAATACCTAAAAAGGAATCTTGCACTGCGATAGTGTACCTCCATGGTAATTATGGGAAGTACAGGCTTTGGATTGGATAAGGTTAGCTAGTGAACTGTCAACATACTCTTTTTTTTTACAGTTTCAGTTTCGTTCTTCGCGCAGCGCATGTAGTGGGGTGCGGTGAAAAGCATTAAAGCAGCGGCATTATTGTTCAAAGAGGCTTACGACCACTAGGTCTAAAATTTGCTGCGACGTTGAAGCTCTACAAGTCGTATTTGACAGTTTAAACGAAGCGTCGTCCACTCATCGCTGCGCATACATGTTGCGTCTCTTGCCAGTGCAGAATATTTATTTATTTATTTATTTAACAATACTGCCAATCTCATAAGAGATTATAGCAGGGAAGGCATATGAAAACGAATATTTGTTTACACAGATTCATATTGATAGAAAACAAAAAAAAAGGCGGAATTACAAAATGACATGCAAGTCATAGGTTATACGTTGCCATTAAAGAACACGCAATCAAACAATTTTAGTAATAGCAAAATCATGAGCTAGGTTATCGTTAAAAACGGCTGCGAAAAGATAATGCATGCATTTCTAATATGGGGTAGAAACAACAAGTAGGCATTTTTATTGGACAACTTATTAAAAGAATTTTATGAACAATAAACTAACCGAAAAACATGTCACTTGAAATATAACGATCATAAAAAAACAAAACTTCTGTATTAGCAATATGACACTGACTCCTCATTTATTGAGTTCATTGATGATGTGATGTTGTTAGTGCGATTTGTGAGGCAAGCAATTCACTTTCAATCGTAGCTGTAAACAAGTTTATGGATGATTCAGTGCTTAAGGTGGGTTTCAGCGAGTTCCAATCTTTAATGGTTAGAGGAAAAAATGAGTATTTAAAGCAATTAGTGTTGAAAGAGTATTCTACAAGAGTATGGGAATGATTATGACGGGTTGGTCTGCCGTGAAAAAAAGATAGACGCTTTGAGGTATCTATTTTTATTATGTTGTGGAGTAGTTGAAACATTAGATTTAGTCTTGTAAGTATTGTTTGGTTTTGTCGTGTTAACATGTCAGCGTTATTGAGTTGGTGCATCGGTGAGTCTGTCAGTCAATACTTGCTAAAAATAAACCTTGCTTTTCTTTGAACCGCTTCTATTTTATTAACCTGTTGGTGGGTATACGGGAACCAGACAGGGCTGGCATATTCTAATACAGATCTGACGAGGGTAGTATCAGCTACTAGTTTGGTATTTGGTGGTGCGAGTTTAACACGTCGTTTCAATAATAATAGTCTTTTTATGGCTGTGCTAGTAATATTATCAATGTGGGTATCCCATCTCAGGTCATTAGAAATCGCTATCATTAGATGTTTGGGGCTAGAGACTGTGGCTAAGGGGCAGTTGTCAATAGTGTAAGAAAAGTTGGACCGGTGTTTTTTGCGAGTTATTGTCATGGAGACACATTTACCAATATTAAGGGACATTTGCCATTTTTTGCACCACGTGTGTACATCTTCTAGTGCTCGATTAAGAATTAGGTGATCCGTAGGAGTATTAATTTCCTGGTAAAATGCGTAGTCATCTGCAAAGAGCCTTAGTTTTACTTTAGTCGAGAGGGGCAGATCATTAATGAAAATTGTGAATAATATTGGTGCTGAGACGCTGCCCTGTGGCACGCCTGACGTGACTGCTGCTATTCTATATGTGGTTGCATAATATTGCATCAAGTTCATGACGAAGGTAAGTAGACGCACCGTCAAGCTCAGCTGACTCGATTTCACAACAGAACCAGAGGTGTGTAAGGCAGACCACTTGGACATACGCACCTAGCATCGCAGAAGACTAAACGTTAAGCGTTTCTCACTTAATACTGTACTGTTATTTCCATAAAACAGGCATGCTTGTTTTCAAGTGTTAAAAAAATTAATTAAATTTTCATGCCAAATCTTGAATGCAATGGCGGAGCAATCATACCCTGATGGTTAAACTTGCCCACGTTTCACTTTTGCCGCCTCGTCACGAAAACTTTTTGGCAATAAAGTTTGAGTACAAATAAATGAAGCAAGATTCAATTAAATATAAGTGCATAGCACTTTGTTTTACACTCGAAAAAGAAGCGTCGCGAATCTCAAAAACATAATTCATTTGAAACATAATCCATTTGAAGCAGATCCCAAGCCTGTACTTCCCATAATTTCCACGGGAGTACAAGCACCACTGAAGGAGCCCGCGTGACACTAGCAGCAGATTCTCCTCTTGGTATTATTGTATGAAATTATGCCTTAGACCACGAGTTTCTGCTGCAACCTCGTGCTGAGTAGAATGATTTGCGTGTGCAGGCTAACCAAGCCGTTCAAAGGTGCGGCTGACCCACCTGCCCGTTCTACTGATGCACGTTGGATCCATGCTGTGGCCGAGGCTGAGAAGGCACTCTCGCTGGATCCCTCTGACCGTGCCGGCCTTCTTCCTGCAACAAATGGCTCAGGTCTGTGGGGCGACCATGAAAGTGAAAAGATTTAGAACATGCTGCATGTGGGGCTTGGTGTGTCTTCGAAAGACCTTTGATAGGGCAAGCATTGTGATTGCAAGCGTTGTGATAGGGCAAGCGTTGGAGGCACATTTTTCAAGGCAAAAATCACAGTTAGATCTTTCAGTAAATGGTGACGTATCAGATAAAACACAACTAGCATTGACATTTAAAAATTTTTTCTGCTCCGTATATTTGTACTGGATGATGGCAGGGACTCGCATTTCATTCCTGTAAAAGATCATCCATCTATAAGCAACATTTTTTATGCAAAGAAGGCGTGCTAACACTGTTGTTAAAACTGGAAACAAAGAAAACTTCTGGAATTGACGACATATCCAAAATATTTTTTAGTCAGGTATGCTGAATGGTGCTCCAAGTACTTATGTTTAATATTTAGGAAATCACTGTCAGAACCTCAATTGCCAACAGAATGGAAATACAGTAAAATTATTCCGATATCTTAAGGAAGCGATTCGCACCAAGTAATTTGTTGCAGGCCAATCTCCCTACTGTGCTCTTGTTCAAAGAAACTGGAACACATGATTTTCACGCATATATCATCATTTCTTGAAAAGAACAACCTTATTGATAATAGGCAACATGGTTTTAGCAAAGGCAAATCAACAGTGACGGCACCCCTTGAAACTGTACATTATTTTGCTGTGCTATTGATGCTAATTCTCAAATAGATGTGATTTCAAAAGCATTTGTGTTCCCCATTCAAAACTGCTACTCAAGGTCAAGACAATACTAAACAATACTACATTAGTGTCATAGATAGAAGCCCACTTGAACCATGAACAGCAATGTGTGTTGATTGATAATGTTTGCTCAACTCCTGCAGTTGTTGGGTCAGGCGTTCCACAAAAGTCGGTGTTGGGGTCGTTATTTTTCTTATATTTATAAATGATATCGTTAATGCAGTGTGTCAAAATTAAACTATTTGCAGACGATTTCGTTCTTTATCACAAAATTGACGACCTTCACCACCACGTCCAACTAAATGAAGCTCTTCAATGCATTGAGAAATGGTGCGAAAACTGGCGGATGAAAATTAACCCCCAAAAGACAGTTCATATGAGGATAACTAGAAAGCGTTTACCGCTACTTTGCACCAAGCTTCTCAGGACATTAAACTATTAGCTTATAAAACGTTCATCAGACCAATTATCGAATACACATCATTAGTATGGGACACGGCACACGAAAAGAAACATCATGCACTTGGAAGGTGTCCGAAGAAAATTGGTGCACTTTATTTTTAATATGTACAGCTGGCACAGATCCTCAAGTATGCTTATAGAAAAGGCTGAACTGGAATCCCTTGAAATTCGGTGCCAAGCTGTCAGACTTGTGTACCTATACAAGATCTTTCACAACAAAATAGGAATAGAAAAGACCAATTCACTCATCCTGTCAATAAGCGAATCACACGCTCTCATTACTCAAAAAAACTACAGGACTGTAACTGCCAAATGTATGTTTTTCATAATACATTTTTCTCACGAACGGTTAGGGAATGGAATGAGCTCCCAGCCAATGTTGTGGAATGCACGACCACATCAGATTTCGCTCTGACATTTAAGGCTCTTTTGTCGACTGTATAACTATATGGATATACTGATTTCTTTTATCAATGTTCGCTTGTATATTTGTATATGTATTTTGATATATTTTTTTCCTAGTATGTGCACTATGCATTAATGGCATTTCGAGTATTTAGTTTACAGTGCAGTTATGCAATATTGTGATTCTCGATGTGCTGACACTACTGCTGTAGAAATGTACTCAGTGTCTAGCATGCCGTGATCGCCTTTTTTTTTGGTAGCATGCATGTATTCCTTCACCTTTGTATCCCCACTTCTGCTTACATACAGCCTTTTAAGGCTAGCAGTACTTTACAAATAAAAAAAAACTGAATAAAAAGATTAGCTTTTCTTACCCTCTCACGGTAATCAATGCTCCTAACATTGATTACTTTGACAGCGTAAGTATAGTAAGGATTAACATGACAAGGTAAATCTATTTTCCCAACATAAAATGGCTGTGGCTTTTTATTTGACAGAATCTCTCAGTGAATTCAAAAACTGTTTTTGTAGCCGGGTAGGAAGCATCCCAGTTAAACTAAGTGAGGTTATGCAGTTAATTCTGGATATATATATCTCTAAGGGTTTGCCGTGCAGTAGAACCTCGGTGATACAAATCTCATCATCATCGTCATCATCATCAGCCTGACTACGTCCACTGCAGGACAAAGGCCTCTCCCATGTTGCGCCAGTCAATTCAGTCCTGTGCTTGCTGCTGCCAATTTATACTCGCAAAATTCTTAATCTCATCTGCTCACCTAACCTTCTGTCTTCCCCTAACCCGCTCGCCTTCTCTGAGAATCCAGTTAGTTACCCCTAATGACCAGCGGTTATCCTGTCTACGCGCTACATGCCCGGCCCATGTCCATTTCCTCTTCTTGATTTCAACTATGATATCCTTAACCTTCATTTGTTCCCTAATCCCCTCTGCTCTCTTCTTGTCTCTTAAGCTAACACCTACCATTTTTCTTTCCAATGCTCACTGCGTCGTCCTCAATTTAAGCTGAACCCTCTTTGTAAGTCTCCATGTTTCTGCTCCGTAGCTAAGTACCGGCAAGATACAGCTGTTGTATACCTTCCTCTTGAGGAATAGTGGCAATCTATCTGTCATAATTTGAGAGTGCTTGCCAAATCTGCTCCACCCCATTCTTATTCTTTTAGTTACTTCAGTCTCGTGGTTCGGCTCCGCGGTTATTACCTGCCCTAAGTAGACAGAGTCTTTTACAACTTGAAGTGCGCTATTACCTATCTCAAAGTGCTGCTCTTTTCCGAGGTGGTTGTACATTACTTTCGTTTTCTGCAGATTAATTTTAAGACCCACCTTTCTGCTCTCCTTGTCTAACTCCGTAATCATGAGTTGCAATTCGTCCCCTGAGTTATTCAGCAATGCAATGTCATCAGCAAAGCGCAGGTTACTAAGGTACTCTCCATTAACTCTTATCCCTAACGGTTCCCATTCTAGACTATCTGATTAATAGTATAAATGTGGTCGATTGTTGAGTAGCCTGTTCGAAATCCTGCTTGTTCCTTTGGTTGAATAAGTGCTAATGTTTTCTTTACTCTGTTAGCAATTACCTTTGTAAATAGCTTCTATACTACAGAGAGTAAGCTGATCGGCCTGTAATTCTTCAAGTCCTTGTCATCTCCTTTCTTATGTATTAAGATGATGTTAGCGTTCTTCCAAGACTCTGGTACTTTTCCCGTCAGGAGACACCTCGTAAACAGGGTGGCTAGTTTTTTTTAACACAATCGGTCCTTCATCTTTCAGCAGATCTGATGTTACGTGATCATCATCAGCAGCTTTGCCTTTTTGCATGCTCTCCAAGGCTTTTCTGACTTCTATCATTACTTATGGACTGTCATCTGTGTTACTGCTAGTTCTTATATTAAAGTCGTGGTTGTGCTGGCTACTGTACAGATCTCTGTACAACACCTCCGCAATTTTAACTATCCTATCCATATTGGTAGTTATATTGCCTTTTTTGTCCCTTAGTGCATACATTCGATTTTTGCCTATCCCAAGTTTCCTTATCACTGTTTGGACGCTTCCTCCATTTTTCATCCTCTGCATGTTATACCTTCTTACATCACATACCTTACGCCTATAAACAACTTCGAAAGCTTTGCCAGTTCTATTTTGTCTGTTGTACTTGAGACTTTCATGATTTGACGCTTCTTAATGAGATTCTTCGTTTCCTGGGAAAGCTTGCCAGTGTCCTGTCTAACTACCATGCCTCCAACTTCCACTGCACACTCTGTAATGATACTCGTCAGATTATCATTCATTGTATCTACGCTAAGGTTGGTTTCCTCACTAAGAGCCGAGTACCTGTTCTGAAGCAAGACTCCAAATTCCTGTCCTTTCCCTCTCAGTGCTAGCTCATTGATTGGCTTCTTGCGGATCAGTTTCTGTCGTTCCTCCTTCAAGTGAAGACGAATTCGAGACCGTACCGTGCTATGGTCACTGCATCGTAACTTGCCAACCACTTCCACATGCTGCCCCGCCGCGGTGGTCTAGTGGCTAAGGTACTCGGCTGCTGACCCGCAGGGCGCGGGTTCGAATCCCGGCTGCGGCGGCTGCATTTCCGATGGAGGCGGAAATGTTGTAGGCCCGTGTGCTTAGATTTGGGTGCACGTTAAAGAACCCCAGGTGGTCTAAATTTCCGGAGCCCTCCACTACGGCGTCTCTCATAATCATATAGTGGTTTTGGGACGTTAAACCCTAAAAATCAATCAATCAAATCACTTCCACATGCTGCACGATGCCTGGGTGTGCACTCATTGTAAAGTCTATTTCGTCTTATTTTCGCCATTAGGGCTCCTTCATGTCCACTTGCGGTTTCCTCGTTTTCGGTAGAAGGTATTAAAAATCCGTAAATTATTGTGTTGTGCGAATTCTACTAGTAGCTCTCCTCTGGCGTTTCTAGTACCGATGCCATAATCTCCTACTGCCTGGTCTCCATCCTGCTTCTTTCCTACCTTTGCATTAAAGTCTCCCATCAGTATAGTATACTGTGTTTTAACTTACTCATTGCCGATTCCACGTCTTCATAGAAGCTTTCAACTGAAGCGTCATCATGGCTGGATGTAGGCGCGTATGCCTGTACCACCTTCATCTTGTATTTCTTATTCAGTTTAATTACGATACTTACCACCCTTTCATTAATGCTATAGTATTCCTCTATGTTGCCAGCTATGTTTCTGTGAATTAGGAACCCTACTCCCAGTTCTCCTCTGTCAGCCAAGCCCTGGTAGCAAAGGACGTGCCCATTCTGTAGCACCGTATAGGCCTCATCTTTCCTCCTAACCTCACTGAGCCCTACTAACACCCTCTAGCTCCTCGAATAGAACTAGACTTCCCTCACCAGA